TCCAAAAAAAAAAAATTCATTCATTATATACAATGAATGTGTCAAATTAGATTTTCTTTCACTTCTTCTTCTTCTGTTTTTTCCACCTTTAGAATTTTCTTATTTATTTACCTGGCGCTACCAATTATCTTTGTTTTCGTTTTGTTTTTCTCTCAATATTCCATAATGTTCAATAATAACTCCGGTATTTTTTCAAGTTAGCACTCAATGGTTGTTTGTTGTTTCTTGTTCATTTAAATCGATGATGATTAAATCAAAACAACAACAGTGACAACGAGAAAATGATTAGCAAAGAAACTCTATATGGATGTCAATAGGATATTTGTTTTAAAACAAAGAAAACCCTCTTTAAAAAGTCACAAAAAAAACAGAAAACCTGAATGATTTGCTTCACTGATCTTTCAAACTATTTATTTATTTAAAATGAAAATTTTTAAATTTTTGAAAATTTTATTTATTTATTTTAACTTTTACAGAACAAAATAAAAGTAAATATTTTTTCATTCAACCTGAACAAAATTTTAAAACAAAAAACAAATGATATGTCGCGTTTATATAATTCATTTATATAATTTTCCATGATTTACATTTGCTTTGCTTTTTGTTTTATGTTGAAATTAATTTGCTTGTCAATCTGAAGACAGAAATGCTTTCATCATCATTATTCAGGTAATAATCGATAGGATCATCATCATCAAAATCATCAAAGATTGGAGAAAAATTTTAAAAAAGGTATAGAAAAATGAAGATCATCATCGATTCAATTAACCAAACAAAAATAAAGATTAAAAAATAGAATCAAAAACAATGAGATTAGTTTAGTTAGTTTAAAAGTCAACTCGTTATATACATTTACACACAAGTAACTAAAACTTTTTTTTCAAAAAAAAGAGGTGTGGCCATTCACATTGATCATCTTAGATAATATTATGAAAATCTATTGGTTAATGAATAAAAATGGGCGGTCCTATTCGATTGTATATAAATGAATTACAAAAAAAAATTGATCAATAAAATGATTGGTTAGTTAAAAGATAAAGTAGGCGGAGCTTGAATCTAAGTGTATGCATTGGATGGATTTCTCTCTCTCTCTCTTTTTCATTCATTCATCCATTCTCTTTCTCTTTCAAGTAAAAAATGTACAGGCAATTTCTGTTTGATGATGATGATGATTGAAAATTAGTTGTAAAATAACTTCAATTTATAAGCTTTACGAACAAGTGAATTTAATCTAATTTTTTTCTTCCCTTTTTTTTTATTTATTTATGGCTAATACACATGCAGTGACGTTAAATCATTTGCTCCGGTAGTTTTTTTTTTATTAAATGTAGTGGTCCACAATAACGATGATATGTAAAAACATCACCATAGCAACCGACCAAACAACATTTAGAGAACTAAATGAAAAGAAATAGAAAGAAAAAAAGAAACTTGAATAGCCACAAGCCGATAGCCACACACACACACAGGTAACACAGGTAAATTTATAAATGTTCAGATCTAGTTTATATCTCGTTCGTATTGGTTGTGTGAATGTTTTTCGTGTTTTTTTTCCTGCTTCAATTTTTTTACACATTGCAATACACAGTGTATTTATTTATTAGATTTTTTTTTTGTTACATAATATGATTCGGTAATTTCAATCATTCATTTCAAATTAGATAATCATCATTATTGATCAGTATTTATTGATTTTTTTTTCTTCTTCGATTATGTGATAAATTCAACCAGTAAATGTGACTATTTTGTTATGCAAATGAAATTGTTTTATTCGATCTCTATTGTGTGTGTGCCCGTGTTGGTCTGTTTATTTGTTTACCATTTTCAATCAATCAATCATCAAATACCTCAAATTCAAAGATAAACCTATATAAATTCGATCAAAAATCACATGATTTGTCATTGAAACATCAATCAAATTCATTTTATTAATTGATTTAAACCAAAACAAAAACAAAAAGGTATGATTTCAATCACTTGTCGAACAAACAAACAACAAAAACATCAACATTTTTTTTCATTGGAAATTCCTTTTTCATATCTTTGTTTTTCAATCAAAATCTTCAAGAAAAAAAAACTTGTAGATATTTCATTAGATAATTGAATATTTTAGTTTTTTTAGAAGAAAAAAACATCTTTTTTGCGACATTATTTTTAGCGCCCCTTGAAGCATTTTGTCCATTTTGTGGTCAATCTTTGTGTTTCAATCTTGTCATTTTAACGAAAACGACTAATTGACAAGTTACACAATACAGATACATATTTTCATTAAAAATCCATAAGATAATAGCCCAATCAATTAGTGTGTGTGTGTTTGTGTTGAATTCGCATCAACGGCATCATATTTCAATGATGTGATTGGATGATGATAAAAATCAAATAATGGCATCATCATTATAATGTATTTTTCAAATGTTTTTTTTCCTTCTCATTTTTTTGCTAATGTTGTTATTGAAGATGATGATAATGACGATGACAAGATTAAAAAATGAATTAAGATAACAGTGGATTATAACAACCACTAACAACATTATTGAAAATGTAAACAAAAATGAATTTTTACTTTTAAAATACATTTTTTTTATTTCCATATTTTGTCACGAAAGCATATCTATGGAGAATATAAGAATGTTAAAAAAGTTGTTTGATTGTTTGTTTTTTCAATTAGACAGGTTTTGAATGTTTTCACTTCATAACATTAGCTATATCAAATGTGTTTTTCATATACAGTTTTTGAATAACCCTTTTTTATTTCTCGTTACAAACTTAACAATGATATATTTCGATAATTGCTCAATTTTTTCAATATCATAATCATGTAAGATATCCGTGTGAAATTTTCCGAATAAAACAAAACAAAAATTCGGGTCAATTTTCTGTCAAATTTCTCCCTCTCTCACATTTTAAACTAATTATAATACAAATTAGTTGTTGTTCAATCAACAACAACAACAACAACAACAAAGCAAGGGCATTAAATTAACAACAACAATCCACTAAGAGAAAATTAAAAACTGAATTCAATTCGTCAACAACAAAAACAATGATAAATTTATTTTCAGTTTTCTTATTAAATCCGGTTGAATGAATTGAATAATAAACATATTGTGTTCACACATATATAATGACAATCAAATTATCATCAAACAGTAATAAAAAGCACACAGCAAGAATAAAAAGCAAGAGAAAAGATTTCATCCATTAAAAATTAGTGCGAGAGTGATATTTATCGTTGATTGCAAAAAGAATTAAGAAAAATCAAAAGAAAACTTTTAAGACAAGAGATTTTTCCGTATAATGTATTCGTCGATGGTGGTGGGTGCAATATCTAATTTACTGTCCACCATCATCATCGTTTATGATCACCAATGGTAACAAACGGAACGAACGAACGAAAAAACAACACAAAACCGGACAATCGTCACGCTAAACTGGCCATCATCATCATCATCATCATTCAGAGATTTAGTTAGTCAATCTTGTTCTGGATGGACATTTATCCAACGAAAAAAAAAAATGTTGTTCAATGTTGCTAATGATTATATTCGGTGTGTATGTGTGTTTGTGTATAATCATCTCCATAAAGATCTCAAACCAAGCATAAATCTCTTTTTCTCTCCCTTATTAAATGTTTTTCTATCTCACTTATTTCACTTATTCGCGTTTTTTTTTATTTGATGGCCAGTTAATAAATGATATGACATGATATTATTAGATTATCGTATTCAAGATTGAAACAAAAAAACAACAAAAACAACAAAAAAATTCTCATCGAAAAACGAAACAAACGAAGCAAAGTTACCATTATTTCGTTCGTTCGTCTGTTCGTTTGCATGTTAATCTTTAGCTGTTAACGCGTTCGCTACCGGAGATTTCGAAAAACACATAGAACTACAGCAAATAAACGACGCATATATGCGTCGCTGGTAGGGAACGCGTTAAATATTTCAGAATGTAAAGTTGAATGCAGGTAACATAAGCAAAAGCAAAAAACGGTGTTTGTTTGTTTGAATAGTGGACATTAATAATGATGATGATGAGATAATTATTTTAATTAATTAAATCTACATATTTATAAATGAATATAAATTACTAATGAATAAATGCAATTATTTCATTATTTTTTCCCAGATTTTTTTTTTGGCTGAAAAACAAAATCAGATTATCTTTTTTTTTTCTTCTACGGATTTTTTTTTGACATTGACATCGACACAGTCAGCAAACATAAAGCATATCTTTTCCAAATGATAATAATCTTTTGATCTCTCTTGAAAAATTTATAAATCGAAAAAATTATTCTGGAAATTTTAGTTCGTAATTCTTTCGTTCTTTGTGGCTTGAAATTCATTTGTTTCAATGATTGATTGTGAAAAAGATATCCATTTAAATAATCAACCCAAACAACAACAACAACAACAAGAATTTGGTCAATTTGATAAAATTCTTCATAATCATCAAAAATTGATTGAAAAAGAATTGTTATTATTACAACAACAGCACCAACAACAACAATCTACAATTAAATCAGATAAACAACAACAACAACAACAACAACAACACCTTCCAATGGGTATGGGGGTGTTGCCAGTACCAGATTTTATTGATCATCATTTAAGACATCATCATCATCATCATCTTACACACCATCATCAACAACAACAACACAATCAACAGCAGCAGCAACAACAACAAAATCTACTTAATCAACATCATCATCATCATAATCAGCTTTTAAATAAGCTGAATATGATTAATAATCATCCATTTAAACAACATCAACAACAATCACAACGTGATCAATTGATTGCATCGATTTCGGCATTTGAATCGGCAGCATTTGCTGCTGCTGCAGCTGCAGCTGTTGCATCATCATCATCATCAACATCGGCTACAACGCCACCAATATCATTACAACAACAACAACCACAGAATTTAACCATTTCAATGAATAACGGTAATCATCAAGATAATAATGATGGTGATCATTTAATCGATAATAATGATGATTGTGATGATGATGATGTCCGTGGTGATAATGATAGTGTTAATGATGATAATGATAATAATGGTGATGATGATGATGATGACGATGATCTAATGAGTATTAAGGTGGATGAAGAAGATAAAGATGATGATGATAATGATTTATTTGTAAGTAACTTTTGTCATTTGTAAAATTCATTTACATTTTCAAAAGGTTAAAATAATTGAAAATTTTGTTTAATTAAATTAAAGGAAAATGAACAAACAACAAAACATCGATCAACAGCAATAACCTCGTCAGCAACAGCATCGACTACATCGGCAACAATGCTAAATCAACAACAACAACCGCAACATCATCGTCCATTAATGCCACCAACAATGTCAACAAGACATTTATATGATCCAAATATGCATAATCGTCATCATCATCATTTACATCATCATCATCATGGACATTCAGATGATTTTCCAAAACGTAAACAACGTCGTTATCGTACAACATTTACTAGTTTTCAATTAGAAGAATTGGAAAAAGCATTTTCACGTACACATTATCCGGATGTATTTACAAGGTAAATAATTTTCAATAATCAATTATCAGTCAGTCAATCAGACAAACAAACAAACAGGAAAGAATCCAATTCCTAAACACAAATCCTACACACACAAAAATCTAAATTAAAAAAAAATTTCATTATCACTCATCATCATTCGCCAATCAAAATATAATGATGGTAATTATAATCAAACACACATACTTACCAAAAAAAATAAAATAAAATAAAATGGTCGATATCAACCATTTTCAGTTAGTCAGATAATAATTTTATTTTTTTGCTGATATGATTTCAAATGACCGGCAATCAAATAAGATAAATTAAATTTGAAAAATAAAATAAAATTTTAAAAAGAAAAAAAATTAAAATTTAATTTAATTTATTCTCTCTCTCTCTCTTGGCATCACCGATCAGAAGCAAAAAAAAAACCTAATGATAATAATAACACTACATTACCTTGGTTTTTTTGGCCATGTTTTCGTTTTTCTCTGAATTTTTTCATATCATATCACATCTTTTTTTTCTTTTTCTTCTTTCAAATATGATTATATCGATTTGAAAAAAAAATTTCGGCTTCATACTGTGTAAGTGACACACACACACCTGTGTGTGTGTGTGATCTTTGCATCATTTTCATCCTGGTCTTCAAGATATTTATTTCATTTCATTTCATTTGCACTGTGATTATCAGCAACAGCAAAAGAAAAAACACATTTTAAAAATTGATTACTTTAAATATCCTCTTCTCTCTCTCTCTCTCTCTCTCTTGGTTTTTTCTTTCAATCAAGTTTCAATTTTCTCCACACACACACAGACACAATTCCATCGAAACACTAAAAAAAATATCCAGCAAGAGAGAGAAAAGATGAAATTTTTGAAATGAAATTAAAAAAAAATTTGAGAATCTTTTAAGATTTTAAAAATCACGAAGGAAATATAATCCACATACAAACAAACAAACACACATAGTTTGTTTAATCATGTAATTTATGGAAAACGAAAACGATCATCATCATCATCATCATCGCCAGTAATCAGTGATCAGGTTTATACAATGAAAATAATGAATTTTTTTTAATATTAATAAAAACCTGATGAAATGAAATTTTATTTGATGTTTTTTGTTTCCAATGAAATGAAATGAATTTGAAACATTTTGATTTCGGAAATCAGTAATGATTATTTTTTTTAAAAAAACGATGTAACAAACATGTTTTTTAGTGTGTGTGTGCTGAAAAGAAAAAAAAATCAAAAATTAATTTAATTGCCTTTAAATTGGACTCAATGAAGATGATGATGATGATGATGATGATGATGATAAACTTGTATGATGGTGCCATTAATGATGATGATAATGATGATTATTATCAACACCGAAATGACGTTTATTTCTTGTCAGTTTTCTTACATTCTCTCTCTCTCTCTCTCTCTCTCTCTCTCTCTCTCTCTCGCTGT